TATATATATATAATATATATTTTCATCAAGGAGAAACAGTATCTCCCTACATGTTGAAGAAAAGGAATATTACAAGGTTAAGGGTAACTAGATGGTTTGATGAATCAATACAGGAATCATCATTCCATTCCCAACGAAAAAGACAACAAATAGCCCCAAGGGCTATAAGAAAAAACAAAATAAAGGAAGCATAAGGTTCCCAACAACAAAAGGAAAACCCATTATGGGAAGAGGCAAGGTGCCAACAAATTAAAACAACCACAAAATTCAAAAAGTATGACCACAAATAGTTCCTCTTCAGAATGTGTGAACTTGAGGAATGCATAATTTATCTCCATGTAGCAGATAAGCTAAATCTGGGGAAGGAAAATTTGCCACCATAATTTGTTCAGAGCATCTGCCAGTAGTGGCCAAAAGGTGAGCAGGCCCATTACCTTTCCTGTTGATATACTGAAATTTAACAGTGTAGCTACCAAAGTTCCTTTGAATTTTCCTTATCCATCTTCCAATGTGCCAAGGGGGGTCTTCCTCATGCTGTAAAAATTTGGTGCAAACATTGGAGGCAGTTTCAATGATTAAAGATTCCCATATTACATTGGACAGCAATTTTAAGAGCCCAATAAATAGCTATCATTTCAGTTTCTACAGCATCTAGAGCCCAAGTAGGTGAGGAGAAATGTAGAACATGGTGACCAAGGGAGTTTCTGAAAACCCCACCACAACCAGCAGAGCCTTTAAGAAAGCTTCCATCAGTATTAGCTTTCAACCAGCCAGTAGGAGGAGGAGCCCATTCAATCAAAGAGAAACTGAAATTACACTGAATATCAACTTGAGGAACCCAGTTTCTGAAGATATTAGTGAACCTATGATATTTAATGATTTTTTGTTGGTAAGATGTGCAATGAGTAGTTACAGCTTTAACAAGAGGGGTAGAACCTTCATAGTTAACACTATTTCTGCACATCCATATAAACCAAGCCACTATACAAGGAAGAACCTGTAAATTGATCTGATTCCACTCTTCCCAGCAGTTGAAGAAGTTGAACCAGCTGAGATTCATTGTATCATTTTTGAACTTGGGCAATAACTCATTCAAAACTTTTTTAGAGAAGTTGCAATAAAAGAAGAGGTGATCCAAGGTCTCCTCCTCCACAAGGCACAGAAGACACACAGATGGTCCCCTCAGGCCTTTCATTTTCAAGATATCATCTGTTGGGAGCAAAAAAAGCCATAATCTCCAGCTGAAGAAGAACATAGAAGTGGTAAGGTGTTTCCCCCAAATTTCAGTGCCCCAGTGAACAGAAGGCCAATGAAAGTGGGTTTGGTAGATAAAATAAGTGACTTTTTGAGAGTTGGCTTTTTTAATAATAATCTTGTCTCTTTGATTAGGATAAATAGGTGTTTGCGGGACCAAGTGCAGCTGCTCACAGTTGAGAATATTAGAGAGAAGGGTATAATTCCACTGATTACCATTCCAGTAATCTTTAACCATATCATGCATATTTGGGATAGAGGAAGAACCTTTTATTATTTCACCATTCCAGGTCCACCTATTCAGCTAGAAATTAATTTGACCTTCCCCAAGCTCCCAAATGAAAGTCTCCTCAGCTTGTTCTCTAACCTCTAACAACTTACCCCAAAGTCTAGAGTCACCCAGCTTTCTGTTAACTAGGCCAAGGTGAGTAGATCTGCAGTATTTCCCTTTCATAAACACAACCCAAAGGCTGTCTTGGGCTCTAAATTTAATCCAAAGTTTGCATAAGTTAATGAAACTCATATGCTGAAAATCTTTAAAACCCAAACCTCCAGCACAGTAAGGTTTGCAAAGCTTTTGCCAAGGGAGCCAATGAACTTGTTTGTTGAACATTCTCCCGAGCAGCATTTGAGTACCTTTCTTCATAGAGAACATTTATAGGACATAAGATGGTAGGGCAGAGAGAATAATTTTAAGTAGAATGATCCTCCCACCATTGGACAAGCTCCCACCATTGGACAAGTGGACAAGAAAGAATTGGTCCAGCATTGCAGTTGGTTCTTAATCTTATCAATTACCCCATTAAATTAGATTTGTTTGTATCTGCCCTTGATTAATAAAACACTCATGTATTTGATAGGAAAAGAAGACAGGTGGCAACTTGTGTAACTAGTAATCCAATGTTTTATCTGTGGAGATATGTTAGAGCTAGGAGAAAATTGGCATTTGGGAAGATTTAACTCCATACCTGAGGTGAGCTGAAAAATGCTTGAGGGCCTTGTACAGCATTTTGGTAGCATTCTTAGTAGCCTTAAAGAAAATAATGACATCATCAGCATAAGCTAGATGACTGATACAGACATTAGATTTGTGCTGATAAGCCAGATGAGGGGTGCTAGAGAACAATTGATTCAGCGATCTAGAGAAATAATCCATAGCCAAAATAAAAATTGTAGGGGACAATGGGTCCCCTTATTTGATCCCTCTGGAAGCAGAAAAGAAGCCATGACAAGAACCATTGATAAGCACAGAATGGTTGTTACAGAGAAGCCATCTTTTGATGAACATAGTGAAGCCTTCAGCAAAGCCCCTAACAGCAAGGGTTTCAAGGATGAAATTCCAGTTGATAGCGTCATAAGCCTTCTTAATATCTAATTTATATATAGCATTACCCCTTCTACATTTCCTGTCCAAGTCAAGCAGCATCTCTTGGGCCAACAAAATGTTATCAAAGATAGATCTCCCTTTGATAAAGGCTGTTTGGTTAGCACAAACAAGTTGCTGAAGATGAGGTTGAATCCTGAAGACCAAAATTTTACTTATGACCTTAGAAATAACATTAGTTAAACTAATGGGCCTGAAATCTCCCCAATTGTTTCTGACCTAGTTTTTAGGAATCAGAGTAATAGTTGAAGAGGTAAAGTACCTGGGTGGATTATTTCCTCTAAAAAATTCCTGTATGACAGATATCACTTCCTGCTTAACCACAGTCCAGTAGCTTTTGAAGCTTTTGTAGAACTTTGCAGTGTAGCCATTAGGGCCAGCAGTTTTATCATCATCTATAGAATCAAGAGCATCTCTAATCTCATCTTCAAGGGGGATTTGATCAAGGGTCAGCCTACTGACATAGTCAAAGCCCTCGGCAAATAAATTGGCATCAATACAAGTTCTAATAGTGGGATGGGTGTTAAAGAGTTGTTGAAAAAAGTTGACAGCATCAAGGGCAATGTCATCAGCCTTAGTTAACTTAATACCCTCAGAGTTCTTAATCTCCAAGATCATATTACATTTTCTCTTGAAATTTATGCAAACATGAAAGAAGCTGGAGTTTCTGTCCCCTTCAGTGAACTTGGTCATAGCAGCTTTTTTCTTCAAGAAGGTTTCATGATAGGTGATTTGAGCAAGTAGTTCCTCATTAGCTTTATGAAGCTCTATCTCAGTTTTTAAGCCCCTTTGGAAGTCTTCTTCAGTGCAAAGTACCTTATTTTGAGCAGTTTTTAAGTTCTCATTAACATCACCAAAAGTATTCCAATTCCAATTCCTTAAGTGGATGGCCACCTTCTTCTTTAATTTCCATAGTTTTATCCAAGGACCATAGTCATCATTAATGGTCCAGGCATTCATAATTTCATTGATGAAATTAGGATGAAGATTCCACATGTTTTGGAATCTAAAAGGTGAACCCCCAGGCTTAACAGCGTTGTGAATAGCACATAACACAGGATGGGTCTATGGTCAGACCCAGACATGGCTAGGTGAGCGATGACAGTATAAGGGAAGGTTTGAAGCCATATTGAGTTCCCCAACATTCTATCAAGCCTTTCCCAAAGAATCCCTCTTCTCCAAGTGAATTTAGGACCCTGAAAACCCAGATAAAATAACTGAGCATCTGTAAGGAATTCATTAAACTTCAGCATAGCATTTTGAGAAGGAGGCATGCCCCCTTTCTTTTCCTTAAGAGAGGCAATACAATTAAAATCCCCCCCAACAATCCAAAAGGAGTTAATGTTTTGGCTGATATGGGCAAGTTCTTTCCACAACAACTCCTTATGGCTTGGGAGACTGCTGGCATAAACAAAGGTAGCCTAACCCACTTGAGCACCTACCACAAACTGAACATGAAGATATTGGGGGCTGTTCAGAATAATCTTCCACTATAATTCACGTCTGGCAAAAAGCCAAATCTTATTATTATAATTAGCATAATAAGAAAATTTGGGGAATTTTTTGAGAATATTAGAGTAGTTCTTAGAAACCATGAATTCCAAAAGAGCAAAACACCAAATTTGATGAGTTTTCACAAGGTGAGCTAGCCTTGTGAGAGAATTGGGGTGTGTAACACCCCTAATGTTCCAACATAAAAACTTCATCATTGTGAAAGGGTTCTCCCTTTCCTTCTTGTTCTCTGTGTGGAATCTAGCAGCTGCTTATGTCCTTCCATGGGGGGAGCCTCCTGCAGCAGCTTCAATTCCAACTGTCCCTTTTTTTTTCTGTTCTTCTTTTGATTTTGCCACTCTTCAGTCAGCACTTCAGCAATTAATTCCACAGTAGAGTTTTAGATTTTATGGAAGTGATGTCTATGTTGCTTCTGGCACAGTCTCCTTGTTTTCCCTCCACTGCCTGGTCCAGAACAGTCTTGGAGGGAATATTTGGTTGATTGACCTCTTCAATAATACTTGGAAGCTTCAGACAGATAGCCATATCAATATCACCAATGACTGTTGCCTGCTCATTAGTCTTGCTGATATCCTGTCCCAACGTTATATTAGAAACTCCCTGAGTAGGCAAGCTTTTAAAAGTTGATTTTCTAATTGGTGGATGTATCCTATAGCATTTATCCACATTGTGTCCAAACATCCTTCAGTGAGCACAGAATAAAGGTTTTTGTTCCATAGTAATGCTTTACCAAAACCCATCCTTAGATATTCCAATCCAAACCCTCTTTATTTCAGGCAAAGTGATATCTCTTTCCACCAGCACTCGAGCCCCTGCTAGTCTAGCCAGATTGTAAGTAGGGGCATCAACTTTTAAAGGGCAGCCAAGTACCCTTCCAATATTAAACAAAACATTTTGATGGTAATATTGGATAGGGATGTTAGGAAATTTAAACCAAAATTGGACAATTGGTGGTTCTTTGCTTGGATCAAATTCTGGAGTCCATTTTAGTAATTTCATGGGGGTTCCAACAATTAATAGAGTTAGTTTAGCAAACACTTTAGCATAATCTTCCTCATTGGACATTTTGATTAATAGGTGCTTGCCATCCATTAAGCCCAGCTGCCAAGCACTAGTGAGATGGAGTTCCTCAAAAATTTTCTGACCATAATCCATTTTTGGATAACCAAATTGAAACTTGCCGAATTGAAACTTGCCAATCAAGGTGACTCATTCAGAGACTGCTTCTCCCCAAGAGTGAAAAAAATAGCAGGTTCTCCCTCTTTGACTCCAATAGGGGAAATGTAAGGGCAGGAGGACATGCCAACAACAACATCATGCAAAGCTTGGGGGAAAACCAGATGGTCAAAGTTCTTCGGAAAATCTTGCCCTCTACCAACCACCCCAGCATAAGTGGCTTGGGTCAACTGAGCATTAACTTCCACATTAATGGGGCTAAACTCCATAGAGACAGCACAACACAGAACAGGAGTTAGGGACCAAAAAAACCTCAAAGAAATAGTAAGAACTCCCCAGTAGTCACAAGCAAACAAAACCAGAGTCCACCTGTCCTAGTGGATAGCCACAATAAGGAAGCAATAGAGAAAAACTCAATGGAACAGTAACAAGAAAAGAAAACCATAGGAAGCCCTCCACCACCACCAAAGGATAAAGCATAGAAGTAACCAGCACAAAACTCCACCATAGGAAACCAAAATTGCCAGCAACCACCACTCTTCATCCATCCAAAACCCTAGCAGAGCATCCCCAAACCCAGCTGCCAACCATCCTGTTTATATATATATATATAGTTTAGAAAAACTTGAAATTAAACGGATCCCATATCTTTCATAGTTTAGATGAAAGAATACTACACCTCAAGCTATGTATCTATCTCGAAAGACAAACACATAACTTGATAGTTAGGCTCAATAAAATAAACAAAAAAATGTATGACATCCATTTGGTTTAAAAAATCATTTTATTATAAGCTGACAAGTTCCCCTATTTAAGATGAGAAGTTAAATAGGGTTTATATTAAGCTGAGTTTGTTTATATTTATATTAGGCAAGCCCTTATAGTTGATTACATCTTAGATAACTAAATTCATATTAAGAGGTGTAGCCCTGACTTTTGGTTGAGGTCTAGTTTCCTCTTTCGTAGCCTAGGGTCTAGCCATAGGCTCCCATAGGGTCTCCTGTTGACTATTCCTAGAGGACTAGAAATGGAACCCTCACCATTAGAAATTCTAAACTCTCCTATGCTCAACTTGAAGTTTCACATATTGGTCCTAACCTCTAGCACTTGGTAGGTGGGATCAATATGGGGACTCAAGGGGAGTCCCCTTAGGATTGCTTGGCCTTAGGGTTGACCCTGGTTGTTGGTCTGGAGCTAGTTCACTTACTTGCACTCACATTCACTCACAACCCTAAACCTAAACTTGTTGACTTTTATCCCTTGATCTTTTGGGAGACTCATGCAGATTGTCCCCTAGACCAACTAGTCATAGGCTAGGGTCTAGCCAAGACCTACATAGAGACCCAAGTAGATACTCCATTGGTCCATGGCTCAAAAAGGGTGGTTAGCACCTCACTTTCACCAAAATACTAAACTTAGCATTTTGCCCCCAAATCTACCCAATTTACCACAAACCCCAAATTTGTCCAAAATTCTCAATTTCAACAAAAATATCCAAAACTTGTTCAAAAAACATCTCAACCCATTTGAAACAACCCAAATGACCCAAAACCTCCCATCATTTTCAAACTTATCGAAATACCCCTAAATTTGCCAAAATTACAAAAATACCTTTGGTAGCCCAAACTTTCCCAAAACCCTCAAAATCATTTCAAATGTCTCCAAAACTAATTTGGACCCTTCAATTAAACCAAATTTGATCAATTTGACCAACTTTGACCAAAAGCCCCAAATTGCCCTTAAAGGCTCAATTTCCCCAAATTCACCCTAAATGCCCATCAATTTGACCCCAATTCACCCTAATTTCAATTCTAAATTCAAATTCATCATGATCAAACTGAATTCAAACCAAATCAAAGCCGAATTTATCAACATTCAATTCCAAGTTCAACCAAAATCAAAAAGCCCCAATTTGGTCGAAAACCAAAATCTCACTCAATTGAACCCCTAAATCCTTCTAATTGCCCCAATTATGCATTATAAACTTATTGAAACATCTCTATAGATCAAATTAAACTCTCAATTGACCTTGTACAAGCTTCAATTTCACTCAATTTCAACCCAAATACGAAATTCCCAAAATTGCCACAATTTAGCCATGTGCCCAAATCCCATAAAACTGAATGCCCTAACCCCAAAATCGACCCTAAATTAATGTTGACAACTCTTCAGGACAATCCCTTAGACCATTTTAAACTCTAAATTTTAACTTATTCAAACTCTAGCCCAACCTAAACCCAAGTCTAACCCAACATCCCCAAATTGATCAATTGTCCAAATTTCTTCAAATTGAACCTCCAAATTAATTCAAAATCACTCCAAATCTTTTCCAAACTCTTTGTAAACATCATCTATATCATCTTGATCAGTCAATTGGGCTCAATGTCATGGCTAGCCTAACTCAAACCCAACTTCAAGACAAACCCAAATTGAACCCATGCACCAAAATTGACTAAGCGACTGAAGTAATGACACCGCAACCACCAAATGGATCCTAGTGACTAAGCTAGAATCACCTAGCCCACCCTATGGAATCCATGGACCAATGGTTCCTTGATTCAGGGGATTTTATCCTTTTTTGGGCCTAAACCAAGAAAAACTTGCCATCATTCCATGCATTAGGATTCCAGCTTAATTAAACCTCCGCCTGGCTCACCTAGCCGTCTGACCACCTCCCCTGCTTTAGCCAGCCATCCTAGTCACCAAAAAACAACAAAATCAAGGGTCCCATGCCTCCACCCAAATCTAGTTTCACCCATCCAAGCTGGCTAGTTCCAATTGGTCTTTGGCATTTTTTTGCCCTCCACCTAAGCACCCAATTGCACCTGAATTGAAGCCCTGAGCTCCACCCAAGCCCCTCTATTTAAATGACCTCCTCATGGAAAAAACAAGGGAGCTAGCAAATTTCATTGGGGAGACTCTGCCCAATTGCTTCCAGACACTCTCCAAGGACTCCTAAGCTCAAGCCGACCATTTTTCCTCTTTAGTTCCCTTATGAGAGCACAATTTTGAGCTCAAATTTTTAGCTTAAACTAGGATAGATTTTTCCACACCTCCATAGTCCAATAAACTCCAAATAACTGTGCACCCACCATCCCCAAAGTGAGAGGAGTTGATTCCCCATAAAAGCCCCATCCCAAACAGCTTATAACATAGCTCTAGACCAGCACCTGAAATCGAGCTTGATCAAAATCATAGCTTGAAAATTCAATCGTACCTGAGAAATCATTTTGAAGTTTGTTGGAACCAATCAAAGCTGCCACAACCATCTGATTGAGGCCTCCCCTCTCAGACAAAGGTATTGAATC